AGTAGTGAATTTCACGTAGTTGTAGAGCTAAATATATTCATTTAAATTATTATAATGCTCTTTTAATCAAAATATTCTAACATCATAATTCTCAAAAACGTCTAAGCTCTCCTATCATTTTTTTCATTTATAACAGGACACTGCTGTCACTGTTCTATACCTACTACCCAATGTATGAATATAAATAACGATATTTTATACCCAGCACATGGGTGCAACTTACGTTGTTCTACATCCGATATATCGTATGCCTTATCATAAGAATTTCATTTACATAGTCTTAGGTTAATTTTTAGTGGAATTGATGTTATTCTATACGCATTATATGAGTAGAACTGACGTAATTCTATCTTCGATATATCGTATATCTTATGACAAGCATTTCTTGTATACAGTCCTAGATAAAAAATCGGTGGAATCGATGTAATTCTATACCCATTGTATCGGTGGAACTGAAGTTGCTCTACATTCAATATATCGCATACCTTATGAAAAGTATTTCTTGTATACAGCCTTAAATTAATTTTTGGTGGAATAAATATCAATCTATAGCCCTTATAAGGGTGGATCAAACGTTGTTCTCTATTAGATATATTGTATGCTTTATAAAAATATTTCTTGTATACAGTTCCTGATTGTTGGTGATATCTATGTTACTCTATACCAGACATAACTATTTTCTCCAACATTAATAATATACTTGAGTTGGAGATTAGAAAAAAAATATTCTTTACCAATTTCTGGGCTTTGAAAATATAAGCCACATTTAAAATTATTCAAAACGTTTTTACAAAAAATTACTCTGATTTATATGTAGGATATGAGATGTTATCTAGTGGAAATTCCAGATATTTGTAAAGTATGTACCCGGAAACGATATTAAAGAAGCGTTTGAATTAAAAATGTTCTCTTCAGAGGCATGTAGCTTACCTATATATTGTTACAGACTTTTTCATTTGTTAAGGAATATTTCAAGTTTTTTACTTCCATTCATTTATTTCAACAAAATCCAAAAAAAAATTATAAATCATTTAAAAATATTATATTACTTACTCTACTTGCAAATACTGGTTGAGTTATAAAACAGCTCCATAGCACAAAACAAAATAATATCCCACAAGAAATTCGAAATTGCGTTTTCACATCCATTTCTCTAACACGACTAAGAGAACAGAATCGTGGAAAAATTCTTAAAATCGGTCGTGCACATTTACTGTTGATTCAGCTGGTACACTTTTCCAGCGGTTGTTGAAGCAGATAATAGACTCTGTCTTGTTCATTTTTATAGCAAGATTGTGTCTATACATTTTGAAATAAGTGTGTAATCAAATGTTTTCAACGACTGGAAAGAAATTTGAAATATTTAAGAAAGTTTAAAAGTTTTTTTTTCTGTGGATAAAATTTTTTATTTTGAATTTCCAAACGGATAATTCAATATTTGAATTTAATACATACTCAGTTAATAGATTCATGTCAAAAAATTATTTTGAAAGTACCTAATTATGTGTAAATTTGTTGAAATTAATTCATTTCACAAATCTCTTAAATTTTTTTTTAATTTTAAGTTAAAAAACTAAACAATTATTACCTAAACTACATGAAATGAATTTTGTTTATCTTCATTTATTTACAATGAAGAAGATATTAAAAAAATCACTATTATCTAAAATTTCTATATTTTATTTAGAGTTTTAAAACCTCATTTTTAATCTATCAATTTGTATAAATGTAAGCATTTTAACCTGAAATTTATCTATTTTTTCAACTTCTGCGATTTAAACTAAAATTTAAGAGCTCATCTTAATTATAGTTGCATTTGGATTTTTTCGAATTGATATTACACGCGCTACTAAAATTATTTGCGAGTGATTTTCCCTTCTCTACATAATACTTAATACATTTTTTAAAAGTTTTTTGAAAGTTAATGTTGTTCAATTTCCATCAATAAATGCTTCAAATTATTAAATATATCGTAATTAATTTTATCTCCTCACCAGGGCTCGAAAAAACTCAGAAATTTTACCCGTCCCCGAGGACGACTTGTCCAACCATGTACCCGTCCTCTTTTGAAACTAACCCGTAGCTTCTAAATAAATAAAAATATAATTTTCTCTCATTTATTACAAACATTTATATAAATTGCACAATGAATTAGTAGTTACTAGGATTACATTATACGGTAATAAAAGAAATACTAGGTTACTAATAGTAACCTAGTATCTCTTTTATGAAATAATTTATTTCTTTTATGAAATAATTTAAATGACAAAGGTCAAGTTATCTGGAATGTCAATTTATCCGAGGGTGCTGCGTTTTTTAAATGAATCAAATATGACGTTTGCCAGTTCCACAATCAAGCCAATGATTAACAGAGGTTTCTGCACATAAATCAGAAAGAGGTTTTCCATTTAGATAGATGTTCATAATTGCGTTTAACGCTTCTTGTTTAAGACCAGTACGTAATGTGTTCTTTTTTTTTTTGGTATGTTCCTTGCTGAAAAACCCCTTTCAATAGCCGCAGTACTCCCAGACAGAGAGAGCATCAATTCCACCATGCGCAGTATGTTGCTGTATTGTGGGTCATTTTGCTGCATTAGGTCTTTATAAATAGCTTAGGCTCGGAGGGCCAGAATGTATCACGAACATTAACGGGAAAATGGCCGTCCACACGGACGTCGGATTCGAGAAATTCGTTGTCCACGGGGAATTTTTGACAGCCGAGGACGGGCGGTTTTTCGAACCCTGCTCCTCACATGAAATTATAATTCAAAGTAAATTATATAACAACTTAAATTATATGTTAATCATAAACGGACTTTTTAAAAAAAAATATTTTTCCATAATAATGAATATTGAAGAGTTCAAAATGTTGTTTGCAATATTTGATGATTTATAGAGTTATTGTTCTATTACTTATGACGAAATTGTTTGGCTTTAATAATAATAAATTTAAAATTATTAAAATTTTAAAGATGATTAGAAGTGAGGTATTTGAATTTGAATGGTACAATTTCAATATTGAATATTACACGAACCACAATTATATGCAACGTAGAGAAGTTAAATTGTTAAACTAAGTCTGACGCAACAGTGGGAAATACAAGTTTTGGAAAACTCATACGCATATGTTTGGATCATGGAACCCGTTTTTACTTGAGGACGTTATTATTGAGGTCAGAATATAGAGTGAAGAGCCAAAAAAACTCATATACCTGCCTAATATCGTGTAGGGCTCCTCCCGCGAGCACGCAGAAGTGCCGCAACACGACGTGGCATGGATTCGATCAATGTGTGAAGTAGTACTGGATATAATTGACCCCATGAATCCTGCAGGGCTGTCCATAAACCAGTGGGAGTTAAGAGGGGTCGGGGATATCTTCTGAACATCACGTTGCAAGGCATCCCAAATATGTTCAATAATGTTCATGACTGGGTATTTTGGTGGCCAGCGTCTAAATTCAGTCTAAAGATTTTGGTGGAAGTGTCTAAATTCAGAAGAGTGCTCTTGGATCCACTCCTAGACATGAACATTATTGAACATATTTGGGATGCCTTGCAACGTGATGTTGAGAAGATATCCCCACCCACTCTTAACTCCCACTGGTTTATGGACAGCCCTGCAGGATTCATGGGGTCAATTATCTCCAGCACTACTTCACACATTGATCGAATCCATGCCACGTAGTGTTGCGGCACTTCTGCGTGCTCGCGGGGGCCCTACACGATATTAGGCAGGTATACCAGTTTTTTTTGGCTCTTCAGTGTAAAAACTAATAATACTCCCATAGATATTTTCAATCGTGTTAAAGTATAATATAGTTAAATTATATGCATTAAACCATAATCTAGCTAAATTTAATGCATTAAACCATAATATCAATTAACTGTGTTGCATTTTAAGCATAATATTTCTTAAATTTGATGCATTAAATAATATGACTTAAATAGAATGCATTTAAACCTTAAATTTGATGCGATTTTATGTGACATTAGATTGAATCATATTATGGTGTTTTTTCAACTAGATCGCACAATGAGATTCAACTTGAAGCAACATGTCTTATTAAAATTTCAGCAAATTTAAACCATAAAATGGTTGAAAATACTGATATTATATCAAAATACATATATGTGGAACTAGTGTTTAGATTGAAAAAAAAAGTACTTCTCATTGCAGGGTTTGATTATTTTACCTAATTAATAGTTTTCTGAATGTTCTAATTTTAGTAATTATTTTATTTTTAATACTATTCATTAACAATAAACGTAATAATGAAAATGTGAATGTTAAATGTAGATTGTAACAAACTGTTTATAATGAGTGTGTTGATAATTTCGCTAAAATTGTTGTGTGCGTTAAATAGAGATTGTCAGAATTTTTGAAAAAAAAGTTAGAAAGGCAATGAATAAACATGAATGAGTACCAAATATTTGAAATAAAGTTGTTTATTAATAAAATTTAAAAACCAATCTAAATAGATAAAAATTACATTAATTAACTACTTTACTGAAATAACAAGACTTTACAATTAGCATATCTTATTTATGGTTCATTTTAATAAATAAAAATCGTCTAATTCTTACAAGCAAATAGTTAATTCTTTGATTTCAAATTACAACTATCATTTACATTATATTACCTAAAGTTTAATTTGATTTCAAAATTCTCACTGTATCAGAAATAGTGTAGATCATGAAAAAGAAGTTTTATACAATAGTATTTTTAAAAATTAATAAAGCCAGTGGTATATACCTAAGAATTAAAACCAGATTTTGTTAAAGAAAAAAAAACGTTCAGAAGTTGAAAATATTGCGCTGTTTTTCTTTCTTGAAATACTTGTATTTTAAATAATTATTCAGAGAAAAAAGTTGAATTGAGAAAAATTCTTGCATAGAAAAACAGCAATAACCATAATTTATGTTACAATATTTTGCGATTTACATGACTACTGCATTGTAGATTAATTTTTAATCACTAATTATGTGGTATGAGCAATACTTTAACATTTTCCTTCAATCAAGTCTCTGATTACACTTAATTTTAAATAAATAAAAATCAGGATTAGATTAGATAAAAAAAATCTTAAGTATATATTTTTTATAATTCGTAAAAAATTGTTAAAGATTTCAAATAAATAGGATAAATAATTTATGGAAATAGTTTTAACAGGAAACACGTAAAAATACATTAAATGAAACAATATTGCACTAAAAAAGCACAATTATATACTAGTAAGTAAAATACAAATGATTTGGAGCAGTGTTGTAATTACTAGCTGACATTATGAATAAAATTACATAGAAATTTAACATTATTGCATTTGTGAAGTACTCTATAATGATACAAATTATAAATTAGTATCAGTGAGCAACATTGATGAAAAATGTCTCATTGTATTTTTCGAGTAAATAATAGTTTAAAGATATATACTTAACAAGAAACGTAAAAATATACTAAATGAAACATTATTGCATTTAAATTAAAAAACAATTGTATCACAGTTAATAAAATACAAAAGAAGCATTATTGCATTTGCTTTGCTGACATAATGAATAAACTTACTAGGAAATTTAGCATCATTGCATTTGTTTAGTGAAATAATCAATAATAATAAAAATTTTAAATGATTATCGTTCAGCAAAATTTATGAAACTTGCAGAAAATTGAGCATCATTGCAATTCCTTGGTAAATTAATCTAAACTTCATCTAGAGAAAATAAAAGCAAATTTTCAAATTATTTGTAGTTTAAACAGTACCTTGCCTAATTATATTAAAACCTTACATTCTCGATTCAGTGTTTTTAAAACATTTTTTACAATGTTTCATCAATGATTATGCTTACTTTAGACCCAGTTTCCTTTTCATCAAATATTTCATTCTTTTGGCTTATTTTCAGATCATGATAAATCATCGTTTTTTCAAGAATTAAAAAAAAATATTTTGGTTCATTTCGATTCTTCTACCTAACCGTACTTGGAGAAACTTCAGGGTGTCCAATATATATACTGGTACTAATTTTGAGGGGAGGTAGAGAACCATAAAAAGGCCATCCATTTGTATTACACCCCACAATCGGAAATACCATCGTATGCCGCTATGAGCACTTTAATATTTTGAGCCGTTTTTTCGCGTACCATTGAATTGGTGTATTTATTTATCTGTATTATGTTAATTTTATGTTTTCAAATAATTCTTATCAAAATTGTATCCAAATAAGCACAAAAATAGCTGCGTAATTGCATTGATTTAGCTACATTGTCAAGTTAAGTTTCCTCATTGTCAAGTTAAGTTAAGTAGTAAAGTAAATAAAACAGCAAATACTAAATTTATTTGAATCAATTTTAAATAAAAACAGTTCACAGTAGTGCAGCTCACCAAATGGCTCATGGTGACATTCCCGGTCACGTGTTGATATAGTTAGTCATCATTTTGATCTTCTCTACCTCCCTTCCCGAATTTGAACATTTAAGGTCACTCTCCAATATTATAATGACCCTGTATGGATGTCCTTTATTGTATATATGTCCTGTCACCCCTATATTAGTCCCTGATATATGAACAACAGAAATCACACCTCTTCTAAGTCATAAGCAGCACTTTCAGATAAGGTGTGATTCCTTAATATTCGCAGCGTTTCATCCAAGTCATTTATAGGTACATTTTCAGACAAGGTGTACCGCCTTTCATGCGAGACATTTTTCTGCCTATCATCTAAATACTTTGACGTTAAACTTGAATCCATCCATGGCAGTGAAGCCAAGCAGGGTCTCGAGGGCAACCATGGTATGAAACTTTCGTTATGTTGAACACGCGTTTGGCTTGGAATGTTTACTGGAGAACTTCGCCTGAGAGTCTGAGAGGTACTTCTGAAAGAATTTCCATGGTTATATTGAGCTTCTAAATCCGTACTCATCACCAGTAGGGGTGCTCTTTCGTGTAATCGATGGTTTGCTTTCTGAACCAGAGAACACCAGATTAGCTGTCAAAAAAATTAAAAACGTAATCATTTCATGAAGCTTAAAATAATTTTAATTTAATATGAGCAAAAATATCTTCGAAGTGCATTTAGTTTCCCAGGAATCAAACTTTAAACAATGGCAGTAAATACGGTTTATTTCTGAGAAATATGTTGATTAGAGGAAATTAAACTCATGGATGTGATATATAATTGCTCTAATTATTTTAATCATTGCTTAGTTAATTTTTGGCATTTTTCTTTTAATGTGGGGGTATTTTTTAGAGTGTATTTCTTCACATTTTCGTCATGACATAATATCTGAAAGACTCAGATTATAATACACCCTTCAACATTTGAGGTTTGTGGGACATATTTTTTCCAATGGTGCTTAGTTTATAAAACACACATTTTCAAAATTACCAGAAGTAGTTTAAAACTTCTATCAGGCTAAAACCTTAAGGAAAATTTTATGTGCTATCTTACCTTTTATGTATCTGTTTTAATTAATTTTGATAGAGAAGGACAAATTTATTTTTAATTTTAACTTTATTTAATTTTATTTATATTTAATTAAATACAATTTTAATTTTAATTTATTTTTTAATTTTACCACCTTGAAAAATATTTCTTAAAAATATGGATATTCCGTAGTATTTGGGTTTTTTTTAATAGGACATTTATTAGCTATAAAACTGCCAAAAAATAAGTTAACGCAATAGTCTTATTTTCTTAAAAGTTTTCATGGTTAAACATTCTGACCAAAAAAGGTAAAAGTAATTAAATTTTTACATAGAAAATTGCTTCGTACAGGCATACAAACAGAATTTTTCCCAAGACGTTATCTAATATTTGAGGGAATTTTTTTTCGTAGCTTAAAAATTGTTTTGAAAGAAATTCATGAAAATGTCGCCCCATCTCTGAATTTTGATACTGATTGCTAAGTTCTTAATTTTCTACAAATTTAAATCACTTGCTCTTCCATCTAAAATTTAACTGCACATTTAATACAATTTTGTTATTTGCATTCCTATCTGGTGTAGCATTTTTAATAACCAGCGAAAAAAACGATCACGAATAACTTTTGATTTAATAATCAGATTTTCACGTCCCTTAATGGTTCACAGAGCGGATCTCAAATATGCTAAGTAACTAATACAGACGACACTAAGTCATGAAATCAGACACAAAAACATAATTTATTTGAACAAACATTTTTTTCGGATTTCTGACATATAGGGGGTAGCCACAATCAGGGAAATATGGTCCCAATAATTTGGTCAAAAAGAGCAGTCAAAAGTTTGGAACCCTTAATATCGATTTTACTTTTTGCATACTTCATCTTATATCGAGATTTTTTTAAAGGAAATGAAAAACTTTTAGAAGCTATTATAAAATATGGTTATCCAAATTTTTACAAACATTTTATTGTTTTTTTATTATTTATTGAAAGATAATTGAAAAAAATTTTGAATTGTAAGATATACAAATTATTACCTCACTTTGAAGAATGCAATTTCATTAGGCAAAATACAAAATTTAAGTGGAATTTGTCGAATAGTTTCTGAGAAATTGAATTTTAAATAGATGGCATTTTTAAAGTCTTATAATTGTCCTCAAAACTTTTTAAATTCGCATAAAAAGTCTTCGTGATATGACGAATTACGTAAAAAGTTTCCTGACCAAACGATTGGGACCATATTTCTCAGTTGTGGCCACTGCTTATGTTTTGGAAGCCAGAAAAAAAGGTGTGCATATTCAGAGAAATTACGTTATTGTGTCTGATTTCGTAACAGGAAGTATCGTCTGCACAAAATAATTAAAATATTTAAGGTCACCCCCTCGAACCAATAAGATTGAGTTTTAGTGCCTGAAATTCCGATCATTAGATCAAGAGATATTCAGAGAAATGGTAATTTTTTTAGTGCATTGTATAAAGCTTCGATGGTTTGTCCAACAGTTTTTTGTGGATTTTGTGTCTCGCTTTTCCCTGCAATGGCAATGCTGATTTTCCTTTAGCGACATTTGTGATTATTTTCTTTTAAACTTAATCAAAAATTAATTTTTCAAAAAAGAAAGAAATTGTAAAATTTTTATTCTTTCGCCCATTTTGTCAAAAAAAAAGGGAAGATTTTTTTCTTCATTGCTTATAAGCTGGTACCTCGACATATTTATGCATTATTTTTTAATGGAATTGATCGATCAGAGCGTTTTAATGGCACAAATGCAAGAATCTCTTATGCTCTGTTAAACTCGAACCATAATATATTCACTAGAATAATGAATTCAAGTGGTGTTCTGCACTAAAACCGGTTAAAAAAGCAGATATAAATTAGAAGGATCAGAAGCATTCTGCGAAATCGAGAAACCATTGTTTACCAAATAAGATATATTCTCTAAAAAGCTTTACCAAATGTCACAAAAATGACTATTTCCAAAATAAATTTTTAAAAAATTGAAAGAAATAATTTTCTGTACTCTGCTTAGGAAAACAGTTGACTTATTTTCACTTTTTCAGAAATAAATTTTATTTCATAATTGTCGTTGAGCAGCCGACCCAGATTTTTGAGTTTACGACTACTTATTTTTAACTCTGTAGCTGTAACTTGTAATTTTGAGCCCAATCCAGAAGACAATGGAACTCTTGGATCAAGTATCGGATGAAATTTGCCTTTGTGGAGGACTTTTTGATGGAACTAACTCGCCTTTGCGTTACACGGAGAGGAAAACCATGAAAACCTCTCACCTCTTTTCAAAGACAAGGGGACTTTAACCTATGATCCATCTACTTCTTAGGATATTTTACTTTAGCATTTACCTTGGGGGGAATTTGTATCAGCAGTCATCGCTAGGATTTGAACGCGGTTCATCTCATTGGGAGGCGAGCGCTCTGTTCCCTGAGCCACCACAGCATTTTTAAAGTATATTGCGAAACTTATCAATAGATGGCCCTGACTGAGAAACTATAAATTTTTTCCGTATTGAGGCAGATTATTCCAACTGAAAATATTTGTACTGGTGTTTGTATATTTTACCCCCTAATTATATCACGTTGTTTATATATATAATGGCTGTTTTAAAAACTATGTTTTATAAATTTTTCTAGACAGACGTGCCACCTGTGGACGAAGTTAGCAATTAATGTTGAGTTTGGTCGATACATTTTCCTGTGTTTCCAGCAGAACGAGGCAAAGCGTATGTTTCCAATCTCCCTCTTTACTATAATTGGTTTCAAGAATTTTCAGTCAATTTTGAAAACTTGTACCATTTTTTTGATGAAAATACACTTTTTACATAGTTTATACTTACATAAAAGCCATAGATCACTTCAAGTAAAAGTCCTGCACAACACGTAAGAAAACATATTAGAGTTAGAGTTTCTGGCATTTTAGATATAAGAAAAAACATGGCCAGAAGTCCAAGGAATATAAAATAAAGGCAAGCTGCTTTGAACATTTTCATGTTTCTCCGAGGACCCATTCTTCAACCTAAAATGATAGAAAAAGTACCTTAGTTTAATATTTACCGTGAAATTAAACGTAAATAAAACCTGTCAAGATTTTTTCGTCACTTAGGAAATTTGCAGGGAAAGAAAAAGATAAAGGTGGTTGATATCTTATAGATATAAAGAACATCGTCCTATAGATATATCCTACAGATATATCCTATAGATATATATCCTATAGATCCTCACATTCTCTCTTCTCATTTCAATGAATGGGGCTGGTTGTTTAGGAAACTGGGATTAAATCCTGGCGGGAAAGAGCCAACGAATTCCTGGAAGGCCCGCTTATCCTTCTGATGCAGATGGGACACCCTTTTACAAGTTTGCAAGCAAAAATATATTTTGACATTTTTAATTATAAAAAAATAGTCTGATAGCTACTAAAAGAATCTGTTGGAATTTTGGAATTATATTTGATTCAAAATATAACCCCCCTCCCAAAGAAAAATAAATAAGTAAAAAATTGAAATTTTGTCTATTATTCCTGCTTAAAAGTTTATCAATAAGTGATTTTGATAAACTTTTAAACTTACCTTTTAAAGAAATTTCAATGATGAATTACTGTTTTTCTTAGGTATAAATAACAACAAATCAGTGCAAGCTAAAAAAAAAAGAAATTTTTGTTTCGAAGTGAGTGATGTTTGGAAAATTTTACATTTTATGCCAAAAGGAGCACCAGTGATCCATGCTGTATTTCATAGCCAAAAGTAATTAAAATGCTGAGTAGAATATTTTTCACATATTTTGACCTAAACTAATACAAACAATAATAAAATAGTAAGCCAACGAATTCCTGGAAGGCCCGCTTATCCTTCTGATGCAGATGGGTTACCGGTGGCCCTTTTGCATATTTTTTTATGACTAATTACAAGCAAAAATATATTTTGGCACTTTTAATTATAAAAAAAATATTCAAATAGGTACTAAAAGAATCTGTTGGAATTTTGGAATTATATTTGTTTAAAAATATAAAATACCCCCTCCAAAAAAATAAATAGATAAAAAATAGAAATTTTGTTCTTATTTCAGTTTAAAAGCTTATCAATAAAGTGATTTTGTATATTAAAGAAATTTCAATGAGGAATTACTGTTTTTCTTAGATATAAATAACAACAAATCAGTACAAGTTCAAAAAAAAAATTGTTTCGAAGTGAGTGGTGTTAGGAAAATTTTACATTTTATGCAAAAAGGAACACCAGTGACCCATGCTGTATTTCATAACCAAAAGTAATTAAAATGCTGAGTACAATATCTTTCGCATATTTTGACCTAAACTAATACAAAAAAGGAAAGGAAAATCGTATGAAAAGTATATTTAATAAAAATTTTCATTAAAAGGTTTAGTTTTGAAAAATGAATAAAGAATCTAAAACATCTTACTCTTTATATATCTAATTCTGATTGGGTGACTATACTTCGTATTTCATAAGATACTTAAGAATAAAATAAATATCCACCATCAGTTTATTTTTAAAAGTACATAACATATTTATTTCAAAAGAATTAAATGTAATTTTAATCTTATTTTTATGTCTAAAAATAATAGCCTTTTATTACAAAGTTAGTAGCTTGAATTAAATAAATCAAATGGTTCTTGAAACTTTTTTTTCAGAACCCTGACATGAAAATATTTTTCAGAAATACGAAAAAATGTAAGCAATTTTTGAAAATTTTTAATGAATATTTTCACTGTTTGCGCAATTTTGTAAACAATGCTAAAGAGTCTTAAAAATATGTGGCTGACACAAGCTTGAATTTAAAAAAATCACACAGAGAGGTCAAGAAAAAATGCAAGAACGAAACAATTTTTGGAATGAGTCTTAGTTTTGAAGAGTTTGTTGAGAATCGTTTTTTTTCTGTATTTAAGGTTCATACTAAACCGTTTCTGATATTTCACTTTATTTATAATAATAATAATAAACTTTTTCTTCAATATAGCTTGATTCGTTACAACGCTGATATTTTTTGGCGTAGATAACAAAATCTGAATGAGTTAAAGTTAAAAACTCCAGCAGATGCTGATATTAATATTGAAAATGCTTAGTGAAAAATTTTGGCATAAGTGTCTTTTTGTTGCTATAAAACACGGGGGAAAAATGCACGTTTTCGTCTGTATGGTTAAATGTTGAGCTAGTGGTCACTAACTGCGCTAGTTTTATGTTTAGTATTTTTCCAACAAGTTTTTATTCATCTTGTCTCGCTGAATATACAGTTTTACAATTAGGTTAATAATTTTTTGCTTTATTTCCAATTTTGAAATCAATTTTATTTATAAATATCCCTCCATAAATAAAGTTAATATATTTCTGCGAAATTGGTATTTAAACAAACAGAATATTGCAAAATCTATTTGTCATTAACAATAAATTTGGAAAAATATATCAAAACTTAAGACCTAGACACAAAAGAAACAAGCAGATAAAAGAATAATAAGAGAAAAAAATATATTTCCCTTATCTTTAGAATACTAATAATTTTTTTTCACAGAAATAAATAATAAACCACTTACTTTTTTTTGCTTTGTATTGATTTGTTCTTAAAAGCTAGATTAATTTTGTCAAAGTTAATATTAAAACCAACTAACACAAAACAGTAACAAACGAAAAACTTAGTAAAATGTAAGCGTTTGCAAATTTCCTCTAATTGACACTAGATAAAAAAAATGTTCTTTACACTTACGGTTGTTTATTTCTAACCTGTGAATCTTCTTACAGCTTTTGAAAGGACATCCGTCAACTAGAATTGTTCTTCCACCAAATGCTCTGAAGCGTGGAGGTAACGGGTTCGAGTTTTGTTGCAACTTTGGAAATATCTCTGTGATGTCCTTATCTAACTTGTACTATCCGTTCTTCAACTTGACAATAGATTTTCAGCAATTTTTGCAACGATCACACAAGCCTGTATAAGTAAGTGTAACTATAAATATATTAGGCCACTGTAGCCTGGAGATTACGGAATCGGACACCCGTCCAGAAGGGCAGGAGTTCAATTCCCGGCATCGCTAAGATCCAGTGAGTACATGCGATATACGTGCTTGAAAAATCAGTGGAATCAAAAGTCTTGTGGCAGGTTGCTGAGCCAAACCAGGGATCTGAAGAAAATTTCCTTGTCCTTCTGATCTCTGTCTGAATTGAGGAAGAGGCTTCACAAATGAACTCCCCTCTGCAGAGGATCAAAATTGTGATGGCATGTCTTTGCATCATTTTCAGAAATGCTTTGCAGATCGTCGCCAATAACTCATTTTCCAGCTCTCGTGTGACGTGAATAATATACATACCTACTGCATATCTGTTCTTTCAAAACTTGTGATATCTGTTTTTCAGTTTGATGATAGTTTTAACTGAAGGTTAAGTGGCCTTACAAATAAAATCTTGACTGCAGAGGATCAAAATTGTGATGGCATGTTTTTGTATCATTCTCAGAAATGCTTCCCAGATTATTGCCAATGACCCGTTGTGCTGCTCTAGTGGGATGTAAATAAAGTATTCACCTACTATCGATCTGTTTTTCAGTTTGATGAGAATTTTTACTAAGGGTGCCAAAAAAGTCCAATTATTAGAAAAATCTGTTTAAAAAAAAAACAAAAACAAAGAAAAACGAGGGAATAGAAATTTCTGGTTTACTGCATTCTACTCGAAAAACAAGAAATTCTAATTTACTTTCAAAGTCAATTATGCTGATGACGCTGCTAGCTAAAAGATTATTAGTCATCTTTAAAATAACTGTCATTTATAACAAAAGCGAGACGCAGTTTGAAGATGAAATTTAAATACGCTAGTGCAAATATTTTGGTTGGAATAATACGAGATGTAGCAGAAAGTGTTTTTTATGGTTTTTTCAGTTAACACTCTGTCATCTGCTGACAAGCCTTATAACTTTAATAATTCTTAAGAAATAATCTCTTTCTTCCTAAGTATATTGCAGTTATCCGCACATTACTCTCTTCCGTTTTAGTTTTCATACCACCCGTCAAGTTCTTATCGAGCTTGTCTAATCAACGCATTTTCGCTCCTTATGTTAAGCAAATAAGATTGAACACATTAAAAAGCCAATAAACTTCAAAATTGCGCAAGTTAATGTAGCGAAATCACGATGGAAAAATCCTCTTCATTTTAAAGAATATTAAACAATTAAACTCTTATATGCTATCCTTGCGTCCAATCCACCAGATTGTGTCTCTTTCGCTTGCAGACGGGGCATGGCTATTTTGATTCATACAAACAAAATGATTTGGATTGTATTAAAAAAATGTCAGAGCTCAATGACTAATGATTGAATGGCCACACATTTCTTTAACAATTTTACTTGCTAAGGAAGTTTTTCAGTAACTACGAGACACGAATCTAATCATTATCCCTACCACGCCGCTTGCAATTCATCTTTAATGATGACATGAAGACAAATTGGAGAAATCGAATAAGATTTCATAGACTTTAGAAAAGTGATTATTTAAGGTGCTGAGTTGGATAGATAAGCACAAATTTTAAAATCTTCCTTTTTATAAAGAAATAGCATGCTAACAACAATTGAAAACGGGATAGTACAAGTTAGATAAGGACATCACAGAGATATATCCAGAGTTACAACAGGACTTGAACCCGTTACTTCAGCTCCTGAGAGCAATTGGTGAAAGAACAATTCTCGTCGACGGATGTCCCTTAAAAAGTTAAGGTTTTTGCCAGATTAGATTACGATAGTACTCATAAACACGTAATCTTTAGTTGTTAAGGGATGTAAAATATTGGTTTAGCAACCACACCATTCTTTTAAATACAGTCAACCTTCAAGGGACCGAAATTTCTGTTCACTATTACCGGGAGTTCACTATATCCGTTATGCAGGCAATTTAACGAATGGTTCCCAAACTCCTCCCTTTTATTACACATTATTTAAATAAATGACTGAAAAATATTATTNGCCGGTCCAAACGCTCTGTTAAGCGTGGAGGTAGCGGGTTCGAATCCCGCCGTAACCCTGGATGTATTCTTTGTGATGTCTTTCTCTGAATTGTTCTATCTGTATTTTCTACTTGACAATGACTTATAAGCCTATATTGAGCACACAAGCCAGCAAATGTATGTAATTTCAATAAATCAATCATTAATCTTTAGTTGTTAAGGTATGTAAAATATTGGTTTAGCAACCACACCATTCTTTTAAATTTTAGTATTTCGTACATTATATGCTTTTGACATGTTTGGATCACTTGAAACAGGATGCGTTTTGTTTTTTGTTAGAGTTAATTTCATTTTTCGATCATTAAATTGCAATGCAAAGTTTAAAAAAAAAATCTACACTTTCGTTTTACTTTAAAGGATACAAAAGCTACTTTTATCAATTTTGCTGTGAGTGGATAGGGTGTCATACCCGGAGAAAAAAAACGATCGTGATTTTTATGCCAATGTTAAAAAGTATGCTTTGACTTCAAAGATTCAAATTGTTCAGGCCGTTCAGGCAAGTTCGATACGGTGCGATTAAACCTACCTTTGTAGAACATTTGTCAGACAATGGAATTGGCAGAAAAACTCTTCATTATTTTAAATCGCAAAATAAAAAATACTAGTTGGCATTTAGTTGCTTACCCAATTGATTACTCTATAAATAATCAATAATCGATCCAGTGAAATGTTCTATAAGAAAAATAAAGTTTTCAAATAAAGTTTGCCAATGCAAGATTGTAGGTTGAAAGTTTGTTCACACCAAACAAGTACCTTAGTATGATTACGCACAAGCTATAAAAAATGCCGGAAAGGAAAGTAGAGAAGTGTAATTGAAATTTGTTAACCCAAGATAGTGAAGTCAAGCTCTCGATTTCGATAAAAGTTTCACCTGTTTTAAATATATTAAATAATTGGTCATTTAAAATTGTAACTTTTACTGTATTCCATTTTTGGTTGAAATACTTGTTCATGTATTTATTTTTTTGATTTGAAAGTTTATAAGGTGTTTTAACTTAGCTGAGCAGCGTTCATGGAAAACTAAAAAAACTGGTCGTAAAATCTCTAAACTGACATCTGAAAACTAAACGCATTACAATTTAATATTCTGAGAACAGAAATCCTCGTAGAGATTTTTCCAACGGAAATAACTTTTGTTCAGCAAAGGAAAAAAGTTTTCGAATATTCTCTCTGAAAAATTTTGCAGTCAGCTCTTTTTAATTTTTCTGAGGAATCTGGTCAGCTTACGATCTCCAATTTAGTATCCCCACAGGTATTGATTTGTTATGGGAACATGGAAGACTTTGAGACTCGGCAGATTTAACGTTCATTAGCCACTATTTACAACACGGGGAGTTTTCGGCTGGCAGGGATCGAACCCACGACCTCTTGGACATTGGCCCAGTGCCCTATGAACCAGGCTATCCCGACCACAAAACGATCTCTCAAAGACTAATAACAGGGCCTTCAATATTAGACAGGTGTGGAAGAGGGGATAGGAAATTCACCTAGGTCAAATGGATGAATCTCCCAAGGAATCGTCGGATGCTGCTGTTTCTATTAACCTCGCAAAATTGAAACCTCGTAAAATCTCTCCGTGACTGACAAAATTCAACTACAATTGGTACTAAACCGCGTATCTATTGACACCTGCGTATCTATTTATGAGTAAAAGTATGCAACACTTTTCTGTTGAATCTACTCTAAAAAAATAATTCATACCTTTCAATTCCATATAATTAGGATTTCAAGCATAAAGAATTTATAGCAAACAAGTGAAAGACTTTTTCTTAACAAGCCACATTTTTAAAGCATGCAAGATTAGCCTGTGAAAAATTTCACGATTTCCCCCTTTCAGTAATCAGTTGTTTTTGATTTTGTAACCTAGTAGAAATTAGAAGTACTAGTCTGAAAATAATTCTAAGGAGCAGTTTGAAGTAAAAAAAAAGGAAAAACCACATTATGTTTGAAGCATGACTGTTCCAGGCTTTTTCCCCCACGTCATTCATTTTTCTCAACAATAGACATTATTTCTATAAAATTTTATTATATAAAAATGATTACAATCTCTTTGTATTTTAGACAAAAAGAAATGTATAACAATATGCGAGATGAAATATGAATATATGTATAATTTTTTTTTGAATGCTGAATTAAAATATAGCAGGAAAAACTCCATTTGTTAAATATTTAAGAATTGGGTGTATAAAAACAACTTATGTATATTCGATTCAGAATACATGTAGTAAATATTCATTTCAAAATTAAAGTGTTATACAGACGATTTAATCGTCTTTTGTCAAACTATTATATACTAATACAATGATTTGCTAGGATTCTTTAAAAAATGTATAATTTTATACTTGTACTGGTACAGTTTTTACCACATAATTCGTTTTCGGGGCATTATTGGTCTGCTCAAATAGTTCTTCACTTTTCATAATTGCTTTGAACAGCATTTGTGTTTGAGGATTCGATGTGATAGGAAGTTTATCAACAACATATCGCCTATATTGATTATCCACTGGCTGAGATTTAGCTAAAAAAGAGTTTGTTTTGCGAGTTATAGTAAATGATTGATTTTTATACTGTTCAGAGATTTCTGAACCGGTGGTTTCAGAGCCAGAAGAAAAGTCAGATCTGATTGTGGGATTGCGGTCCACTCTTCTTGAAGTTGTGTTCTGATTTATAGACATTTCTAAAGTTTTTTCATCTGCATTAGTAACAGGTCTATTAACGTAGCTTTCAGATCTAGAAAATAAACGTCTGTTTGCGAGATTGGTATTGCTTGAGTATACATTTGACTGATTGACTCTAGTTTTTAGATATGGTTTTTCAACAGCAGAAGATGTACGACTTACACCGGACCGGTAAAAAGTTTTCTGTGGCAAGTTCTTTGGCTTGTTTCGAAATGCAATATTAGAACAAGAGCACAAGTTGCTTTGACTCTTAGAAGAAAGATCGCAAGTTTGAGCCTCAAGGTTCCGTGGTAAATTTGGTGTCCCATTCTGAGGTGTAACAGTTGTGCTTGTACTAGAGCCCAAATTGTTTAGACTCTTAGAAGATTCGCAAACATCAGCTTCAATGTTTTCGTAAGTGGGAGCAGAATTTTCTGGCCTAGTAATGACAACTTTCGGCACAACTAGGACTTCAGAAAGTTCGTCACAGGATTGAGCGTTATGCCTATTAACAAACGCATCATTCAGGTTGAGATTTTCGGAGGGATTACTGTAGTTTCTGAAGTCTATATTCGATCTTGCGTTTTCTCTGACGTTGATATGCCTATTTTGTTGATTCGTTGAGTCAATTCTTGGTGCATTTCGATAAGAAGGAGCTGCTGGAGCATTGTTGGGTAAGACACGACGAAATCCGTCCGAATATGGCATCGGATGTAGTCCGAAACTTGTTAGGCGATTTCCGGTTCTAGTCCTATTCGATGTCGGAAATTCACTTAATTCACGTTTGTTTGGAGATAACTGGAAAAAAAATCAAATATTCATATAAAATTTGTATTAAAAATTTCATGATTTTCAAAATTATATATATATATATAATCTTTTTCTCGTTGCTCACAAAAATTAAAACGTAAAGCGAGGGAGTTGTCTTAAACATGAAAGCGTAAACGTACATATTTACAAGTATTTGAATCTATTAGATTCGACATCTCTTTATCACTGAAGAGTAAAATTATTTCCTACTGTAACACACATTCTCTTTTACAAAATTTAAATTACTTTTACAAATACAGTTTATTATTTTTTAAATCCAGGCAATCACTCATTTCGATATGATTAAAATAATAGCAAAAATTATGTATTTTATTCTGAAAATGGTTCTTATGAAAAATATCAACTCTTTTTTAAGGAAATGAAAGAAAATCATGGGGTTGGTGAACGTAGCAAGCAAAAAAAAAAAAAAATTNAGAACTTGCAAACCTTGTTATCAAGACTTTTGGAGGACTCTAATCTTTGCACTAGCATAGACACGACAACAACAACGAAGGTATAATAGCAGATGATATAGCGCAGTAAGTGACTGAAAAAGAATTCACTGTTTGCGTTTGGAGCGCATTAAGGGTTGTCTCAATTTCATGCGCGGAAATGTTCTTTTCTTATTCCCGCGTTGAAATGGACTCTGCGTCCGACGAGGTGGAGCCAAGTGCCAACTCCTGGTGAACGAACTATAGATGTAGTTTTGAGCCGCAATAGCTCAGGGGATAGAGCTTTCGCCTTCCAATGCGGCGAACCGGGTTCGAATCCCAGCCGATACGATTTCCGCATCCGGCTTGCACCGACCATAGTGCTGACGTGAAATATCCTCAGTGGTGAACGGATCATGAGTTAGAGTCCCCTTGCCGTCAGGCTAACCGTGGGAGGTTCTCGTGGTCTTCCCCTCCATGTAACGCAGAGGTGGGTAGCTCCATCAAAAAGTCCTCCACGAAGGCAAATTTCTCCCAATACTCGATCCTGGAGTTCCCTTGTCTTCTGAATTGGATTCAAAATTACAAGGCTACGGAGTTGAACATTAGCAGTCGTGAACCCATAAAATTAGATCGGCTGTTCAATGACGGTCATAAAATAAAATAAAAATATTGATGGAGTTTGAATTTTAAGAAAAACTAATGGTGAATGCGAAGCAATCATGTGTGTCGACGAACGGAGCCTCCCAGTAATTGTAAAATAATAAAACACGTATGAATCAAAATTGATGTTATTTGTACAAACCTTCATTATGATGAAACCACTGAGTAAAGTAGAAAAGAAATAGAGAAGGAGTACTGCCACTAGGAGTATTAAGGCGAGTTTCAAACCAGGTTTGGAGTCCAAAGCTTTAGGTGCAAGATACCAATAGGCTAGAATAGCGCTTATGTCTATCAATGTGGTTATGAACAGTACTATCCAGGCTGAGCGAAGGAGGAATTTATATTTACCACAGCAAAGTATCCAACACTAAAAGAAAAATTAAAATTAAAACAAAAATATTAAAAAGAAAAAGGTCCGAAAACAGAATTTTAATTCAATCGTTATTTCAATACATCTTAAAAATTGAAACATATTTGTAGTAGTAGTAGTTCATTTACATCGCACTAGAGCTGCACAATGGGCTATTGGCGACGGTCTGGTAAACATCCTTGAGGATGATACGAAGACATGCCATTACAATTTTGATCCTCTGAGGAGGGGATGGCACCCCCGCTTCGGTGGCCCGAAGACCTGCCCGCGAAGTCGAGCACTTTACGGTAGAACAGTTTAACGAGGACCAATACCGCACACCCTCCGTCCCTTTGCATACTGATCCAAGTGGTCACCCACCCGCACACTGACCGCAGCCAGTGATGCTTGACTTCGGTGATCTGCTGGGAACCGTGTCTTTACGATTAGTCCACTGCTGAACTAAAACATATCTGGTTTCTTTCTGAAGTTAAAAACCACAACCACCGCTGTTATTTCGGGACTTAAATTTTATGACAAATTTTTTTCGCTGAGAAAAAACTACGAAACTACGGAGGTGTTTAATTCCGTTTTACGAATTACGTTAAATGTCGAATTTGTTGTAACAAATATCATGCTGGCTGCAGAGTTGATAACCTAAAGAAATGAAATTTGACATACTAAAAATTTTTTTTTTATGCATGAATTTTTGTTTTTTCGAAAATTCCAGTCAAGATAAAGTAATTTCAAGTGCTTTGTCATGATTTTTTTAAAACCTTAATGAATATTTATCCTTTGTTGTAAGAAACTTTCTCCCACCAAAATTTTATATGCTCACGCATTAGTTGATGTTGTAAGTATCAACAAAAAAAAAAAAGATTCGATGGCAAAAAATATCTTAGAATTTATACAAAAAAATATTAAAAGAAAATAAATTAAGAACTCAAGAGAGATAAAAACAGTTTCTTATTTGAATTGATATGATACAAATTTATCCCTGTAAATCATAAACTAGTGAAATTCTTTTGATCTTTTCATATTTTCTGTTCATGTTAAACTTTTTCTTCAAGTTGATAATTTTTAAAATTCAGGTAGTCATTTGGTAACAATTAACAAAATATGTTTTTATGAAATTATTTCTTTATTAAAAAATACTTTTAAAATTTTTTTTTTTTAGAAATCAGTGATTTGGGGAGTGGGCTTACAAGTTTAGGAAAGCTCAGACAGTTTTAAGTGTGCAAGAAGAAAAAAAAAACAGTTCTAAAGTTTGAAACTATATTTTTGATTCATTGCCAAGAAATAAATAGGTTGTTCCTAAATTAACCAGTATAAGCTTTCAGAGCTGTGGTGACTAAGGAGATAGCGGGTTCAAATCCCAGTGATGGCTGGTTGATACGAATTCCGCACCCCCCTCGCGCCGACCACAATGATGACGTAAAAATATTCTCAATGGTAGACGGATCATGGGTTAGAGACTCCTTGCCGTCAGGTTAATCGTGGGGGTTCTCGTGGTTTTCCTCTCCATGTAACGCAAATGCGGGTTAGTTCCCTCAAGAAGTCCTCCACGAAGGCAAATTTCTCCCCATACTTGATCCAGGAGTTCTCTTGTCTTCTGGATTGGGTTCAAAATTACAAGGACACTGGAGTTGAACATTAGTAGTCGTAAACCCAAAATTGTATCTACTGTTATGGTTATAAAATTAAAATGAAAAGTATAAGCTTTCATCAATTTGTTAAATGACAAATATACGTTTATGTGAGAGTTATTCCATTATTTTGAAGACATTGATATTCATAATTTCCAGTTAATTAGCATTTTATTTTCAACTTTTCTAATTAAAACACATATACTGACCAAATAATCCGATTTTACATTTATTCAGAATTAATTGACAGCTTTATATTTTACTGAATAATCTATATTAGTTTTCATCAATTTGCCTGATAAAAATATGAATATTGTGAAAGTTTCAAATTGGACTAACTCCAGCAATAAATTTCTCAGGTACAACATTTTCTCTAAAAACTATTGGTACACAAGCCTTAGAATAAAAAAATTGACTATAAAGATCTATAATATTAAAATTAGGTAGTGCATCTATCTGCGTAACTTTTATAGATCCGGATTAATTTATTCTATTGTCCTAAAATTTGGATAATTATTTCAAGGGACAATTTTAGTTCCCAGTCCTAAAAATCATTTGAAATTTGTGCCGTTTAAAAATTGTTTTTTTTTCATTGGCTAAACGTTAGCCATTGTTTTAGATTAAACTATAGACGTATCTGTTTCTTGTGATGTCTGCAACTTATATCTCCATTTGTTCAAAAAAGTATTTATTGCTCATACTCAATTAGTTAATTTCTTTTGAAAAAATTCAATGATCAACGTTAACTTAGTAGAATCTGTCTCACTATGTCAACTAATTGGTATTTATAAAGTGATTTGAAACCACGTGATTATTTTGTTAACAGTAATTCTTTTAACACGTGTTTCTATAAAAATAAAAACATTAAAAATCTCTGATAACTGAAATGAGAAAGCAATTTAGATTACTAAAAAGCAAAATTAATGGAAAATTCTAATTGGTTTAGGAGAAATATAAAAAATCACCATACTATTATTGACATCAATGATGCTTAAATTATAGGTACATAATGAAATAAAATATAGACTACGTATTGAAACTATTTTTTTTTAACTAAAACTGCATAAACTATAAACTATAATTTTAGCTAAAAAGCAAAATTAAAGGAGTAAAGCTACTTATTCGTTTAGAAGAATCAGAAAAAATCGTCTTGCGTATTGACGGCATTATTGTTTACCAATTGTACTTATACGCATTGTTTGTAATATGTATTAACTGAAATAATAAAAATATGATATGTACCAAAAACAATGTTAATAGCGAAAAGGTACTTATTCGTTTAGGTGAACCGTATTAAATAACTGAACTAAACGCAGATGACGCTTTATTAATTTGATAATACGCATTACTGGTATTATGGTGGTAGGTGCAGTTTTAATAAAAATTCTACAAAGAATTTTGCGCAGTTTCAGAATTTTTTTCTCCAGTGGTAGCAAAGATAGTGCATTAATATTTTAATGATTTTGAATTTTAAAAAAATTTAACCCCCTTCTACTTATAAATAAAAACAGTATATTAAAGGTCAGATAAAGAAATTGTCATACTCTAAAGTCCTTATCAAAATCTTAAGAATTTTGTTTTTAAAAGTTTGCCTTTAGTTTGATACCACAGATAAATGAATTACGCTCAAAACTCAAATATTGAAGGAACGTGATAGGTGCCAAATGTACTAATATATGCACAAAACGTTACAATTATTAAAACAAGCCAAGGGGAATGATAAAATATAATAATAAATTTAACAAATATTATACTTAAGTTCAATTAAATTGAGTTGGTATATCTCTTTTAGTTTTGTGCTGGATTTCGTAGTTTTGCTTTCTTTTTTATTCAGCTAGTAAATGCATGCATATATTTCTTAAAAATAAACATTTTTTTAAAGTAATAAAAACAAATGGATTTTTATCTATTAAAAGCATATTTACCGCATCTTCTCCACAAACACACATGTTGAACAGCGAGATGAGTTTTGCAATTTCAAACCGACGCCCGCAACAACAACTCTAAAAATATCAAAGGTCCCATAATGTGGCCACTTAAAATTATGAAATTAAATAATTTTTAAGTGGAGTAGCCGAGAGATTAAGCCTTTTTCTGCAAAAAAGAAGGTTCGTTTCTTAAAGTTATTGAAGAATGCGAGGCTGAAATACCGGCACTGCGAAAGAGAAAGTTGTTAGTTCGATCCACGAAGTCAGTGAAGAAACCCGGAGTTAGTACACAATAAAGTTAGTACGTTAAATAGTATATAGGATCTTTATTATTATCAGTAGGTATTGGGGACGTTTACGTCATACCAGAACTGCCCAATTTGGTATTGGGGACGGTTTGGGAAACATCTCTGAGATATAAAGCATCATATTTTTGTTCTTCTGCATAGGAGGTGATTCCCCTACTTTGGTAGTCCAATGACCAGCGCGCGAAGTCAAGCACTTCACGATAGATCAGTTGTACGAGGGCTGATACAGCGCACTCTCGGTCCCTTCACAGGCTGATCAAAATGGTCACCCACTCACTCACTGACCGCTGCCAGTGATGCTTGATTTCGCTGCTGACTAGGAGCTATGTCTTTTTGATCAGTCCACTGCTAGATTGTTATAATAAGAATAAGTCCCGCAATGGACTGATCATTAAGACACGGTTCCCAGCAAATCACCGAAGTCGCGCATCACTGGCAGCGGTCAGTGTGCGGGTGGGTGACCACTTGGATCAGTCTGCGTAGGGACCGAGGGTGTGCGGTATTGGTCCTAGTTTAACCGTTCTACCGTAAAGTGCTCGACTTCGCGTTCATGTCGTCGGACAACCGATGAGGGGGTGCCATCCTCTCTGCAGAGGATCAAAATTGCAATGGCACCTCTTCGGATCATCCTGAGGGATGTTTCCCAGACAGTCGCCAATACCCCATTGTGCAGCTCTAGTGCGACGTAAATGAACTACAACTACAACAAGAACTATAATAAGGATAAATAAATATTGAGAGTGCGTGACCGAAAAACTAAGAAATGAATCTTAGACTTGGAATTGTTATACTTCATAAGAAGGAGGATTAAAGTGAAATTTCAAAGCATTGACTTTTTTTTTTATTACTAAATTTCGAAAAAAGACCAATCTGTAACATTATAAGTAACAAGTATAAGTTGAATCACATTATAAATGATTAAAGCATTAGATGAATTTGTCCCACAGTAAGAAAATCCTAAAGACGCTGTTCTCAATTGAACACAGAAGTCAAGCATCACTGGCAGCGATTAGTTAAGGAGTAGGTTGATCAACCTGCGAGGAACTGAAGGTGCAAGGCATTGGTCCTTGTGAAACCGTTCTATCAAAATGTGCTCGACTTCACACGTAGGTCATAAGGGTACCAAAGCAAGGGAACTATATATGCAGAGGATCAAAATTGCGATGGCATATCTTAGAGATATTTCCCAGAGCGTCGTCAATAGCCCATTGTACAGTCCTATTACGACGTAAATTCAGTACCATGTACTACTAAGGCATTGCATAGATTTGGCGCATAGATTGTTCTTATGAGTCCAAGGTGTCTTCTCAAAGTTGCTTTTTTAACACATTATTCACACAATTTACTTAAAATTTTATAACATATATACAAATTCGAGGACGTATTTTCCACTGAAATTGTGAACTAATTGTGAAGTTGTGACTTTTGCTGTTATCATTCGCGTTTTTGGTGGAACATTCGATAAAGGTTTCGCTCTCGCAGCACTTGGCGAAGTGAAGGTTTCGAGTTTGATTTGGCAGCCGGCTAAACAATCCGCACAGCTTTCGCCTCCCAAAGAGGGTAAAGACCCAGGTTTAAATCCCAGCAGTAGCTGGTTGGTACAAATCATGCTCCCGGCATGCAACGGCCATAGTGCTGACATAAAATATCCTCAGTAGTAGAGGAGTCATGAGTTAGAATACCCTTGCCATCACGCTAACCGCGGGAAGATTTCGTGATTTTCATCTCCATGTAACTCAAATGCAGATTAGTTTCGTCTGAAAGTTCTCCTGGAAGACTAGTTTGTCTCAAGGATCACAAGGATTTCTCTTGTCTTCTAGGTTGGGTTCAAAATTACAAGGCCACGCTGACGATAGTTACATACTCAGAATTGGGTTATTTGTTCAACGCCGGTTTTGGTCTTAAAGTAAAATAAACGGAACAAAGGACTCCCGGTGGTTGAGCGGTAGCGCTTTGCTCTCCCGTGCCACAGGTCCTGGGTTCGATCCTAGGGCCGGGCAATGTTGACTCAGCCTTTCATTCCCTTCAGTGAGTAGATAAATGAGTATCAAGCATGTTTGGGAACTAAACACTGGGGGTTCCGTGTTCGGCTGACCACCTAACCGGTATATCTGCTCCTGCATCCCAGAGCTCAAGATCAAGAAAACTGAGATGGACACAGTAGGCCTTGGCCCTCCATGGGCTGTCACGCTGCAGAGTTTAGTATACGGAACAAAGTGTACGCTAAACCTGCTAGGGCAAAAATGTCTTTCCTTGGTTGTGATACTTAAGTTTGGAGAGAAAGGCCCCAGCTCTGGTGCTGCACAAATTGTCCAACTATGGTCAAAATGATATGGCTTAAAATGGCCGTTAAAATATAAAGACCTTGAAAACGGGGTTGGGTTCTTAGCCATGGTTGGGTGCTGTTGGCCTCTATAATTATTGATAAATCGATGTGTTGGATTGGAATATATACCTTTTTTAAGCTTTATAGTGCCATTTGTCTAAATTGTTTTTAAAATAAGAAACTTTATGCGCTATGAAAAATAGACTAATGATGACATGCTTCCTTAAATTGAAGGAATCGTTGATCTTCTTCGTCAAATTCTCAGAATGAAGTTAAAAATCCCGAAACTTTTATTGTCAACTATTTTAAAAACAGTTAAAAAAATGCTGATTTATTTTTTGAAATCATTTTTCAAAAACAAAGCCTATATTATATGGTCATTAGGTGTTTCAAATTAATACTAAAGCGAGAAAAATACAAAAATTTTAGCAAAATATGAATTATTAGGGGAAGTGGAATTCTGAACAAAAATCTGTTTGTTTCTCGAAAAAAAAATATTTCCTATAATCGCCTATCCTTCTCTCCTGCTTACTAAAGCAAACAAACAGATTTTTATGTTTTCCATCTCGCTTTTCATAATAGTAATTTTTTATTATTTTGAAAATCTAGTTTTTTTTCTTGTATTTTTGTCAAAGATTGTAAAAATATCCATTAAAGAATGTGATTACGGAGCTCTGTGCATATATTTAATCAATAGTATGATCTAGTCGAAAACATGTTTATTTTTAAAACAATCGTAGTTATATTCCACAATATTTAGCTTAATTAAAACCAAAATAAATAAATTTAAGTGTTGCAAACGGAGAATCTTTTAAAAATTCCTTTTCATATGAAAAATCAGGCTTTTAGAAAAGCTTAGAAAATAACTTCTGGTAAAGGAAGAAAAATGAATATCTCGCCAAATAAACGAGCATTCACACGCCAATAAATATTCAGCAAACAAGACATTAATAACACACATTTTCCTTACTATAACACGGCTATAATAGCTGCCATAGGAGAAAAATTGCACCGCCTTTTCATGCCAAGTATCACCATAAACGTCAAACGAATATTCCAATTTTCGAAGCTTTTCTGTGCATCCTAGATAATTATGGAAAACGCAGAAAGGTGAAAGGAAGTAAAAAAAAGAAGAGTGCTAAAGAATAACTGAAGCGTATAATTCGAAGATATTTCCTAGTAGCTAGACAAGTTTAAAAGTTAATAATTTTGTAACTGTTTGGTTATAACTTAGTTGCATAAATTTTATAGAGTGCTGTGAAGTTGTAGTAAGTTTTCTTATTAATTGTTAAATTTATGTTCTCTCTGTTTTAAAATCAACGCTGTTGCTTTGACTTTTTGAAATGGCGATTTTAATTCAAACAGAAAGTGGTTTTTAAAAATGGATTATTTTGCTGTCTGCCAAAATGTGTATAAGATTACTATCTGTTCAATTTTTAAAAATTGTTTTAATTCAATATCTGATAACATTTTATAAAGAATTGTAATAATAATAATATTAAAAGTATGGAATTTGCTCAGGAAATCTGAAGATTCTATCTGTGTCAAGATCACATAATTTAAAAGTTAAGGGAATTTAAGCAATATCAAAGATTAGTACAGTGAACACAGATTTCATGGTCTGGAGGTTCAAATTTATTGAGGCTCTTTTTTTCAAACATATCAAGTCCTATCTTAATTTTTCGAAAAAACTTTTAATTAATTTTATTTTATTTTCACAAATATATTCAATTTCCACTTGTTTTATAAGATCTAATTTCTGCTAAAAACTGAACATTTATTAGTTTCTTTTATTATGAATTTTAGTTATGTATAATTTAGTTAATTCCAGCTTTTGTAATTAGTTAAATACGCTACATCTTTTGTGGTCCCGCAGTGGACTGATCGTTAAGACACGGCTCTCAGCACATCACCGAAGTCAAGCATCACTGGCTGCGGTCAGTGTGCGGGTGGGTGACCACTTCGATCAGTCTTTGTAGGGATCGAGGGTGTGCGGTATTGGTCCTCGTTAAACTGTTCTACCGTAAAGTGCTCAACTTCGCGTGCAGGTCGCCGGGCTACTCAAGCAGGGGTGCCATCCCCTCTGCAGAGGATCAAAATTGTGGTGGTATGTCTTCGGATCATCCTCAGGGATGCTTGCCAGACCGTCGCCAATAGCCTATTGTGCAGCTCTAGTGCGACGTAAGTGAACTACAACAACAACAACTACAGTCACGGGGACATTTAAAATTGTGTCCTTTGACTGACTAGCGAATATTTGCACCCATCAAATTCGAAAAATTAGATTTGTTAGAAACCTGTTCATAAAGTAAACTAACGTAAAAAGTAGTTTCCAGGAATGACTACAAAGAACTATTTTTGTATCTCACTACTCGCACTGTTTTCAAAAAAGTAGTACACTACGCTACAAACTACGAGAAAAACTAGCGACTACAGTAGTTTCATTACTTGCATTACGCTACTTTAGACCGCTGATCCTACC